ATTTAAAAACAAGTAAAAAGCTGTAAGTTGGACCTGCACAGACAATTTTCTATCATAGGCTGTAGTATCCATTACGAACTTAAAATATCAAATTTCAAACAATTTCGGTGAATACTGTCGCTAAAATCATCAAAAACCCGAATATCGGGAGATGCAGTTATATGGAGGCTATACCAAAACGTGGCCTATCATGGCTTATTTCCAATACCAAATATCCTGCAGACATAATATAAACTTGAGTAAAATTTTATTAATGTACTTCATTTCGTTCGGAAGCTAAATTGATTTCCACAGACGGACGGACATCGCTAAATCGACATAGAATTTTATGCTGATCAAAAATATACTTTGTGTGTCTAAACTGTATATTTCGAGGTGTTACATACGGAATGACAAACTTAATATACCCTCCATACTATGGTGGAGGGTATAAAAACCCCTGATCCCTGAAAAACAATCTTTAAAAAAATCCTTGATTATTGGTCTGCTGATCCTCGAAAAATATTCTTTAAAATTTCATGCATGATTATTGAAATATTAGATATGTAAAAATCTGTAAAGTATCCACGATCCTTGGAAAAACTGCGATCCCTGCAAAATATTTTTTTTTTTTTTTAAATCCAAGATTCTTAAAAAGTTATTGTAACACATTTTTTATTATTAAAAAATCAAAATCCTTTAAAAATCCCCATCTAAATAATTTTTCTTTGTCTCTCCACTTTTACACCCAATGTGGCAACCCTATTCAATTGTTGGCTAAATTTATTATGCGGCTTTAAGGAAATCGAAGAAAAAATATGGTTCACACACGACAATCAGCAGCGAAGACACTGCAGAGACGGGCGACATCGTTGAATGACAGGCAATTGCAACAAAAATTCCTGGCAGGCAACAACAAATAGCTACCCACATTCTGCAATATAGTGCAATAGCAACAAAAGAAAAACTATAAATGTTGTTGAAAAGGTTAGTGAAGTGTTTGGAATGCATCGGTGATGACAAGAGTGAAAGAAAGGAAAAAAAACAACAATACAAATAATATTATTAAATACACAACGGCGACGAGAAACATGTGCAAAAGAAAAACAAATAACAACCATTATTTGTGTTGTTTTTGTATTGTTGTAGCAATAACGACAACGTTTCTCATTAGCTAAACCATAGGTAGCCGAGGCAGTCACATAGGTGGGTATGCATGAATGTATGTTTGTATAATTGTTTTTTAATGAATTAATTTTGTTTTTTGCTTGTTTTCATTTATTAATTAGTACCGTTAGACGTCGTGGTGGCTTGGTGAATAAATTATTATAATTATTTTTAGGTTTAACATTTTTTTTTCATTGAAAGATAGAGGGAAAAAGCAAAACAAAACAACCGGCAAAAATAAGAAAACACAAACAATTCAAAGGTGTCTTTCTAATAAGAATGTAATGAGAGATGAGGGAAAAAATAACATGAGAGCTTGGGTGTTAAGTGCTCTCTCCATACATAATGAGAGTAAATGACAGAGAAATATTTATCATGAAACGAGCGGGAAAATAGATCATATTAATGGAGACTTGAAACGATTGACAGTTAACGAGGATTTTTTGAGGAAAAGTGATTTATTAAAATAGGAAAAGGATATTTTAAAAGCAAAATAAGGGAATATAAGTAAATAACTACATATTACAATTGTTGAATTAATATATACCGGCATGTGTAAGTATTTTTGTAACAAAGAAGTTACCTAATTTGTAAACCAATTAACACTGTTTGATTCTTTAGATTTCAGCAGATATCTTTCGATGGGATCTAAATTGATTGAAGACTAAGGACTTCTCAGAGGATACTACAATAGAATCTGATGTTAAATGAGTAATTCTAATCTTCAAGATGGAATTCTCAGAACATATGTGACATAAATTTTACAAAAAAAAAGAAAGATGCACGCCTCCTGGCGTAATAGGGATCTATAGAATATAGAAAAGGCGGGCCAACAAAAAAAAGAGACTAGGTCAACAAACCTAACAAGCTAGTCTGCCAAAACGTTCATGCTGCCGAGGTAACGTCATGTCTTAAATAAATCCAGCATCTGAAAAACGTTGGACTAGTAGTTTAAGGTAACTACGTTAGGGTGGTGCATTCGTTATTTGGCACAAAGTGTTGGAAAAAATTCGAAAGCCCTTTAAACCTATCCAAATGCGATTGGAAGATTAATGGCTATAACCATGAAGTAACATTTTCGAAAACAATTAAAATAATGCAAAAATATTCACAGATCATAAGACGAGCACCATACTTGACTTGTGTCGAACTGCAGTTTTGAATTTTTGGATCATGCCAAAATGATAAATTCCGCTTACATTCTCTGCCCGACTAAAGCTAAGTAAATTTTTTGAGAACTTTAAAATTTAAAACAAAATTGTTTTTAATGCCTCGAAAGTTTGTTATAGATAAGAAGCTATTTCGCTCCACGGCCTTTTTTTGGCAAACATTATCGCAGGGATTTTAAAAACACTTACACACCAACCAGCATCACGACATATAATGGCAGGCGTCTCCAACACCCACAAGGTCATTTACGAACTAAATACACATACACCCCTCATAAGCGCTTTACATTCGTCATTCATTCGTGGCGGCATGTTGTTGACCCTTTTCGAAAAAAATAAGCACATGAAAAACATTTTTTTTTTATAAAATTCAAACGGATGTCATTATCAGCTTTCATTTTATAATCGTTATATTCTCAATAACATCCAAATGTATATTTTTTTTCATTTCAGTGCAATGAAAAGCCTGGCATTTGTTTTATGCATATGTATTCAGTATTTTGTTGTTTTACAAGCTGATAATGCAGCACACTTGCCCCATGCATGCCTTATTCTCAGACCATTTGACAAAATGAGATTTTTGTTCAAAATCGTTTAAAGCGTTTGCTTGGAACGCCGCTTGTAGTGCAATCGGAAAAAAAAGGAAAATATCAAGCAAATGAAAAGAGAAAATTGAAAGTGTAAATGAACTTTGAGAACATGCACGCACGCAGCATGCTGGCTAATATTTTTTGAAGTCTTTGTTTGGGTCTTGAGGGAAAAGGATTTTGAATTTCTTTCTCAGCATAGAAGTGAGGCGAGAATTGCTGGGGTTCTTAGAAATTGCGTTGCCTTTAAGAAAACTTATCACATTTTGGAGAAGATTATGTGGGCTTAAAATGCCCTCTTACATAATTCTAATGCTTGCAGGATTAAGCAAACTCCATGGATTAATATTGCCAATTCCACACACTTTGAGGATGAATAGAATTTAAAAAATAATGTTTGGGCTTTCCTAACCCCTCAAAGCAAAAATTTTGCCGTCAAAGTAGAAATGACTTTTTGATCCAATTCCAAAACATTTTCAATTCAAGAATCTATCAGCAAAGACATGCCGTTGTAGATGATCGGACGGCAGGAATTCTTGTGTACATCCTACTTTACGGTACGTTTGTGGAATTCCCAAGAACGACGAGGAGAGGAGCAATGTGGCTACAGCATTAATATTCATGATCGATGTTGAACATCGTATCAGGTTTTTATACCTTCAAACATATGGCTAGAGAGGGTATAAATCATTTGATAAGGCCTAAAAACGAGCCTCATCGAAAAAATAGGTTTAGACCCTAGGTCTCTTTGGACCAAATCCGTTTCAGGACATTTGCATTCGATCTATCGATGTCCGTCCGTCGTGTGCCTGGCTGCTGTGCACAATAACTCTTGAAGGGAATATCCCATCTGATCCAAACTTGGTACCTCGTAATATTATTGTCAAACTAAGATCAAGTTCGAAGATGGGCAATATCGGTCTACTCCTTCTGGTAGCTCCCCCACAAAAAATCGAAATGTTCAAAAAATATATTTTCTGAACAGAAAGATGAACGATAATCCGATTTTGCTCCAACTTTGCGAAATCTAACATTTCCATCAATTCTAGGTCTTGTGCGAAAATGGAGAATATCGGTCCACTCGATCCAGTACCTCCCCCAAAAATGGTCAACATTTTAAACAATTATACCTCTTAAAAAATGTGATGTAAGTGTGCGATTGCCTTCACATTGCACACATCGCACTACTTTTATTAACCCAAAGTCTGGTGTGAAGATGGAATATATCGGTCCACTCCTTCTAATACCTCCCCCACAAAGGGTAAACATTTTGAATATCTGTAAAGCTGATAAAACACGAAATTAACATCCGATTCCTTTCAGACTTGGCACATCCCAATATTTCCATCAACACAAGGTCTGTCATAAGCATGGTAGAGACCGGACCATTCTGTCAGCATTTGCCAAACAAGTTCGAAAAGTTTATCTTGCAGTGACACCAGGACAACCCTAACCAATCGCACAGTTCGTTGGGTATTTTTTATGAAAATGTTATTTTTGGCATTCTATATGTCTCTGATTGAAGTAGCCACATGTGGGAGCAGAAGTAACATAGATTACAAATGTTGTTGCAAAATTGTCAGGCTTTATCCCTTTATTGTTGTTTTTATAAAAACAACGTTTGTTTATTAGTGGAGAACGATGGTAATGTTTACCAGGTTACAAATTTTATAGAAAATCCCATTATTTTCTTTTCAGTTATCCTAGATTTCCTCTGTCACAATGCCAGCTACAGGCATATATCTGGAATGAAGACAATAGTATATGTATTTGTTATTTCTATTTATCATTGCTATACAATACCCACATAATACGATACAATTTCTCTGTGTGTGTACACCCATAGGAATGTATCCCAACTCTGAACTGATAACACCACAAAATATTCAATGTATAAAGAACTTTTGTCGCCAGTCAACCAGCACTTGGTTACAAAATAAGGGGCGTCCGAAACAGCATCAACACCATATGAATTGATATTGACAGGCAAACGGGGCCGGCAACAAATAAAACTAATTGAATATTAATACATTGTACAGCGATATACATAAATGGTATACGATATAAATTCATTCAGTGATGAGTGCATACTACTTACAATCTAAATGTTTCTTCTTGGGACCAATGCACTCTTCCGTTGTGGCCTTGCATACCGATTTGGCCAAACCTTGACCGGCCAAACTGTGCCTGGCAGCCAGTAATCTGTCGTTAATTGTTTGTCCGGCCATAGACATGATGATGACTTGTGTTTTTTTTTTTTTTTTTTGTTTTGCGGCGTTTAATGCACAATTAATAAAATTAACCAAAAATTAATTTTAGTTTTTCTTTTTTTCTTGATTGTTTGATTGGCCTTTTCTTGGTTTTTTGTTGAAATTATTCCTTTTTGTAATGCGTTAATTCTTGTGACAGCCAACAGTTGTTATTTGTGTTAGAGAGAGAGAGAGAGCAGCAAAAAGGCGCGAGAGAATGAGGCAATTGATTTCTTTTGATGCAATTGTGACAATTTGTAGTTAATTTGTCTTCTTTTTCTTATTCCGCGTTTTTTTTTTTTTTGTCAAGTAATGAAAGTACCAGCTTTAATTACCATCAACTGCAAGTAAATTGTTAACATTTTTTATTAAAAAAAAAAAAAAGATAAACACACACGCACATTAGTCACCAAAAACACTAATCCCAAAAGGCCTTCAATTGCAAATGTGGGAAAGATAAAAGGCAAGAGAGAGCGAGCGAGAGAGAGACAATTGATTTGTTTTGATGTAATTGAGGCAATTTTTTATTAATTATATTTGTATTTTCTTTGGGGGATTTCACGTTTATGGCGATTAAAGAAGCAAACAACACATTTTCCATAATTTTCATGGTATTCTTAACACTTTTTGATTAATAAAACACAATCATTTTTATTCCCAAAGATATAAAATTGAAAGAGACAGGTAATTCTTTAATTTTTAGTTATTCTTTTATTTTTTTCACTTTGTTTTAATAATGAAGCACCCAGAATATATTTTCATTTAGTTAAAGTAATTTTTCGCAATAGTTTTATTAATAAAACACCCAATAATAATTTATTCCTTAGGACCCCCAATTGGGAGAGAGACAGAACATAAAATTAACAATTTTATTTAAAATTTTTGTTTATCGTTAGCTTTTTGAATTAATCTCAATTAATGAATCAATATACACAGCTTTTTCTTTAATTAAAGTATTTTTTAAAGTATTTTATTAACAAATTACACAATAAAAATTGTTTCCAATAGGGGCAGTGAGAGAGAGAGAGAGGATGATGAGGCAATTTGAAACAAAAATGCATTTTTTCTTTAATTTCTGCCCTCTTTTTAGTTTAATTCATGCATTTATGTTAAAAACTGGAGGAATGTTGTTTTTTATTAACTGCAATTAATTTCTAGTACTTTTCATTGATAAAACACGTAATAGTTGCTATTCCCTAAGAGCTCCCCAATTTGAAGAGAAGGAGAAAAGTAAACTCACAGCAATTAAAAATTATCCATAAATTTGGTATTTTTTGTATATTTTTGGCATATGTTTTAAATTATGAATGAATCCCAATTATATTCTACAGAAAATTAGTTATTTTTAAGACATTTTTGTTAATAAAACACAAATATTACTATTCCCCAAAAGTGTCAATGGGAAAAGAGAGGAAAAATGAGAGAATTTCACAAAACTAACAATTCTTACTAAATTTTTGTTCTTCTTCTGGCTTTTTTGCAATAAAATCGTTGTATTAAGTCCATGGTATCGATATCCATTAAAAATAAAAATATTTAATACTATTTCTATTAAAAAATCACATTTAATGTTCCTTATGACCACCCATTGAAAGAGGGAGAGAGAGAGAGCATAAGGCATCGATTTGTTTTGATGCAACAGTGGCAAATTTTTGCAAATATTTTGTCATTTTTTGCTCCTTTTTCCCACTTCTACCATAAAATTTAATTTGCAATTAAACTTTTAAACGGAAAAAAGTATTATATAAAAAACCCGCAATTCACAACATAATTCTCTCTCACACCTCCAGTTGGAATTATTTGACCGATAAGAGACACGAGTCAAGAACAGCAGCAACAACACCAACAACAAATCGACGACGACGTCGACACAAAGGAGCCACCGATATATAAAATAATAGGAATGACCCACAAAACAGTGTTTTATTTGGCACATCTTTTCCAAATGGCTCAACATACACACTTAAAACGCCCTCTAAATAACCGAGAGCGAGCAAACAACAAAAGAAAAACACCCCTTAAAAAAAACTCAAGTTACAACCATATGACGTTTACTTGATATTACAACAAATCCTTCTTCGCCGCTCAATGACGACAAGGCGACGACGTTCACTTTTCAAATTATTGTTTCGTTTTTCCTTTCAGTTGGCTTTCTTGTGGATTTATTGATTTTCTCCACACAAATCATATGATATGATATTTTGTAACAAACAAACAAACAACAACTACAACACACAATACGAAAACCCAATTAGAAATGAAAAAAGAAAAAACACTTTGCATAGGACAAGTGTGAGAGTGAGAGAGGGGACAACAATAAAATATGGAGGAGAGGCTCCATCCCATTAACCTATGAAGAATGTCAAAAAGATGTTGGATGTTGTTGTTGTTGCTACTGCTGCTGTTGGCGACGTGTGTAACCAATCTGTTGTTGTTTTTGTTATCAATACTAAGCTGCTGCTCTTCTCCATTGATTGCACACACACACTGTTTTTTCACTACTTCTTTTCTTCTTCTCAAGAACCAACTATTTGTTCTTCTTCTTAATGTCGTTAACATCATCGTCGTCGACGTCCACGACGTATTGGAATCAACATTTATATATTTCTTTCATTTTGTATCCACTTTTTTTTCTTCTCATGGAGGTTTGTTACTTTTGCCTGGCAGGCAGTAACAGAGAACACAGAAAAATACAGAATAAATTGGCTCTCAAATAATACGTGGCTCAAAATTTTTTTTGGATAAATATTCTTTTTATTTAACATAAAACACCAACAACAATCATTGAGACAATTTTGCAGCCAAATAACTCGCCCAAAATTCTTTCCAAAAAACCAAATTTTGTACCGTTGCTTTAACAACAAAAAACGCACACACACCGTAAATTGGAATTGTAATGCACAAGAAGAAATTAACGTAATTCACTTTTTTCTACAATAGCCAGCAGCTTGCGCACAGAAGAACACTCGACAACTTTTGCAATTCCTTTTTTTTCTTTGCTTCAATTGGCCTTTTCTATTAATTGGTATTCATAACACTTGTTTTATTATTTTCCATTTACAATAGACACTTTAATATTTACTTTTTTGTTGTAAGCTTAATTTTTTTCCTTCTTGGAAAATTTATATATTTTCTTTGACTTTTCTGCCCGTTTTAGTTGGATTTTTATGTATTTTTTCTTCTCTTGCCTAGTTCTTTCTCATTCGATTCGGATTTTTCAATTGTAAATGAGTATGTATCAGGGATATGTAGGTCGACTTATGTCCAATCGATTAATCGCCTTTGTATGGAGGGAAAATAATCGAATAATTGTATGAGTGATGTTGAGAGTTTGCATTATCCGGATATTTTAGCCATGCCCTCAGTTCCAGTCATTTGTAATGAAATAACTAATGAAACAAGAACTTTTCAAGTAAATATGGAAACGGGTAATTTGTCAAGATAAGATGGTAACAAAATAAATTTGACAAAAATCACATGATAACACACAGTAATTTGAATTACAGATTATCAACCGGGTACAAACGAATAAAAAACCGTGAAAAGGAACTTTGCTAGAGAGCACAGGGACAAAAATTAGTACTGAGTTGCAGGCTCTGGAAACGAGTTGTTCCCATGACATCGAAGAAAGTGCAAAACTGGTAGAATCTTGCAGGTTCTAAAATAAAGGAATAATCGACGATGACGAATTTTTCAGTGAAAGAACAAAGGATCCATATACTTCTAACAGAAAAATCCTCTTTTGTGCCTAGTCCTCCAGTCATTTTGTAAGTCCAAGTCACATCAGTATGTTTCGATAAGCCGACTCACATAAAGTTCGGGACAGTTCGCAGAAACAACATCAGCAACAATGGTTCGAAAAGTAAAGAAGCGACTTGAGCGAAACCCGCATCGCAGTGGCTGAAAAATGGTTTGTGAGCTGAACATATCGCAATATTCCATTCGGCAAATATTGAAAAATTAGCTCTTGGTAAAGCCATTGAAATGCCAGAAAGTGCAAGAACTTACACCGCAACCGCAACAGAAAGAAAATAGGCCAAAAAGAGCTAAATAACTCCCGAATTCGGTTTTCTCCGATGAGAAAACATTCGTTGTCCAGCAGTTTGTAAATAAACAAAATGATCGGGTTTACTTGCCAAAGAGGTCAGCTGAAAATGTGCACTTTGGGTTGGCCACCAGAACTCAAGCACTGGCCATGGTGATGGTTTGTGCCGCCATAACAGCCGATGGTCGCTTTCCGCTCGTATTAATCGACCGTGACATCAAAATAAATGCTGAATATTATCGCGAAAATAATTCTGGAGGGTGTATTAAAGCCTTGGGCACACAAACATTTTGGCCACAGACCTTGGACATTCCAACAGGACTCAGCATCATAGCACTCAGCACGCGCCACCCAAGTTACAAAATGAGGTTCCTCGCTTCATTTCCAGCGCACAATAGCCAACAAAATCTCCGGATACCAATCCGTTGGACTATTGTTTTTGGAGTATTTTGAAAAGCAAGGTTGGCACTAAACAATTCCAAAGAGTCGATCACCTCAAGCAAGCGCTTCGCCAGGAATGGGCCAAAATACCGCAGAGCAACATTCGGGCAGCGTGTGACGGTTTCAAGGCCACAATTCGTGCCAAAGTTGACCAATTCGAACAAATCTAAATTTATTCTATAAATTGATGCTATTTCCGACATTTTTTGCTTTCATTCAATAAAATTAAAAAAAATGTAAAAATAATGGCGTTTGACTTGGTTGCAGTTTTTTATCTCACCCTGTAAAGTGTTTCGCCAATTTTCGCCTTGTGCCCACAGAAAAATAATTTCTTTATATTTTCTTTTTTTCTTGGGAAAATTTTATATATTTTCCCTATTTTCCGTTTTTTTTAAACCATCTAGAGATAAACTTTTGTTTTATGAGAAATAACCAAAACCTACTGTATTTTCATTTTTTTAATGAAACAATGTGGCAATATTTGTCCTTTACAAGATAGGGTTATGGAAATCGACTTTGGTCGGGTAAGCAGCTGTGTCTTTATCAAACCAAAAATCGATTTCTAGAAACCTACATTGAAAAATTGTACACCTGTTTCTGTTTTCGATCTAAGGAACCAATTAACTGTCTTTCTGTTTTGATTCCCCATCTTTATTACTATTTTTCTGTGTCACCTTTCGTTTTAGAGATGCCATACTGCACTGTCCATAGTATTCGTACCATAACAAGTGCCGGTTGGTTACATTAAAAAGATGTCATATTTGATACGCAAGGCGATTAGCGATAAGGTGAGTAAAAAACACAATTTTAAAGATATTTATAAATAAAAACACATAAATTTGTATTATTTTTACATTTTCCACTATATATTCTCACAGATTACACAAATTGTAAGGAACAGTAATGTTTACTATGAGCTAGAGGCCCCCATAAAACGCAGCAATGGCAAGCCGGTATTGCAATGGTCGGTTAAGGGCAATAACTCTTCAGAGGAGGAGGTTTTCAAAGTCCTGAAAGCTGTTTCATCTTTAAAATATGACCCCGACTTGGTGCAGGAAATAAGACCCATTGAGGGTAGTGGGAAAACACCCAGCAAAGTGGAATTCCATTTACGCGAAGAAACTTATGTAAAATCTCTGCTAAATCAATCTGATAACGAAATACCTGTTGAGAGGAGCCACCAACATATGGTTTTTGAGTATAGTTCACCGAATATCGCCAAGCCCTTCCATGTGGGTCATTTGCGTTCCACCATTATTGGCAATGTTTTGGCCAATATACATCAGCAGCTGGGCTATCAAGTGAGCAAAATGAATTACCTCGGTGATTGGGGTACACAATTTGGTTTGCTGCAAGTTGGCGTGGAACTACTGCAGGCAACAGATGAACGGATACAAAATGCACCCATTGAAACTCTGTACAAAGCCTATGTTATGGCCAATAAGGAGGCAATTAATGATCCAACCATTGCCGACAAGGCAAGGGAATATTTTCGACAATTGGAATCGGGAAACCAATCTCCGGAAGTTATCAAACAATGGCAAAAATATAGGGAATATACCATTAATGAATTACAAACAGTCTACCAACGTTTGGGTGTTGCATTCGACATCTACGATTGGGAATCTTTGTATTCGCAAAAACACATCACAGCGGTCCTGCAAGCATTGGAATTGAAAAATCTCCTATTGCCCGAAAAAGATGGACGCAAAGTGGTTGAGGTCGATAATAGAAGGATACCTGTTATTAAGAGTGATGGCTCCACCTTGTATTTGACACGAGATATTGCTGCGCTTTTGGATCGATGGCAGCGATTTAAATTTGAACAGATTTTCTATATTGTGGAAAATGGCCAAACTGATCACTTTAAGGCATTGTTTCAAACAACCTGGAGGTTGAAGGAGGAGATTGATATTTCCAAGTTAAGGCATGTGAAATTTGGTCGTATCCATGGCATGAGTACCCGCAAAGGTCAGGCGGTCTTTTTGCGTGATCTTTTGGATGAGGCCCGTGATCGCATGCAGGAGAAACAGGCCCAGAGTCCAAGTAAGTGAATGAAATATTTGTAAAACAGCTAATTGATTTTTGCAAAGATTTTTTAGAAAAGAATTTGAAATTGAATTCGAAAATATTGGTAGCATTAAGGCAGAAAATCTCTGGGCAATGTTTTTGATGGATGAAACACTTATTCAGATATAAATGATATTGCAATTATTCCATCTGCTGTAGATTAGATTTTCTATATTGAAACCCTACATCATTTGGTTCAAAACTTCTCAAGATTGTGATTTCAGATTACAATAACTATCTATATTCCTGATCAGAGCATATTGGCTATTCCAGGCAACCCATAATTTGGCATCAGAGTGTCATCACCGATCGGCTGGTAATCAATTCGGAACACCAACTAACCCGAATCATAAGGCATTTCTAAATATATATACTTTATAGGTTATCAGATCAAATGGTCCTCTGTTCTGAAACAAAAATGAAACTGAAATTAGGGGAAATTGCAGATAAAAGAGGCCATTGAAAAGGAACTAAAAAATGAAACGGGCTTGAGACCAGGCATAAATTAATTCAAGGACAACATTCAAGCCGTAGTTGTTGATAGTATCTGTGACGGCATCAGTATAAATGCTACTCCGAACTGTCTGATAGGCTTCTTTCTCTAGAGGCGAGGAACAAATTAAGTTGAGTAGATAATAACATCTAACCTATTGGAACCATTAAACTCTTCAACTGCCCACAGAGTAAAAAATTTTAAAATGGTGCGGGATTGAGACTGGAATCAAATGTCTCAGGGAGTACTTTTTTGCAGATGAAAGGGTCCTCCGTAATAAAACTAAAAATTGATACTGTATCAGACCGGGCTTAAGTACTACTTTCCGAATAAATGTCCACATAGGGAAAATTACAGATAAAATAGTACATTGAATAGAGACTAAAAAGAAGCCGAGTTGAGACCAGGCCCAAATTAATTCAAGGGCGACATTCATGTCGTAGTTGTTGATAGCATCTGTGACTGCATCAGCATAAATTACACTTCCGAATTATCTGCTGGACTTCCTTTTCTAGTGGCTAGACAACAATTGTTGACTAGAGGTTAACACCCAAACATGTACGGCAGTGAATTGCATTATGGTAATATGTGGGAATGACCCTCGCATCTTCATGTAGAGGTTCACTGATGTTATCAGAGGCACCCATTCATTCTGACAGATCTAAATATTAATTCACTGCATTGCACTAGCATTCGCAAACCAATCTGGACCGCATAACTGACCACAGACTGACATATCGATTTGTAAGAGGTCAACAAAGTCTCCTCATTCTCTCAAGGCTGTCTGGAGGGCGAGAATTTTCGGAGATTTAGCGGTTAAACAGTTCGGGAGATATCAACTCTCCTAGACGAGAGAGGCAGGTCTGTATATATTCTAGTACGTAGCGCTAGAATTCACCGACAATTCAGGGGACGCATAGCTGGTCAAAGACCGACATATCGCTTTATAAGAGATCAACAAGTTCGGTCCCTCCGCGAGACAATTGCTATCGAATAATGCCTTTAGGAACATTTTCCTACTTTTCAATTTATATCTCAAGGCTGTGTGGAGGCTAAGAAATTCCGGATAGGTATAGGTTAAACAGTTCCTGAGATATCACCCCTTCTTAGGGAAATTCCCGTTTCACTCTACGGGGCTTAGACTTCTTGTTTCTGAATTCGCTTTATAAGAGATCAATAAGATCG